GAGAGCGTTCAAAACCGTTGCGCAATATTGCGACAGAACCTGGAGGCTGAAAAGCCGCTGGATCTGGCCCGACATCGTAGTAGCATACCCGCCTAGTGAAAGGTTACCACCGAGGGATTAATTCCTCATCTCCCATCCTTGAGCGCCATATTCACAATCCCCCGTATAGCATGTATTATAATTGAAACAGCCATCAGCAACCTTTCCCCTGACACAGCCAGAGGGGTTTTACCGGTGCTGGAAAGACATGCAGTGTTTGATAGCCGAAAGGCTCTAACAACACTTAAAGCAATGCAAGATAAACCAGTAAGTCAAAACATATCAGGATGGCATCTTCTAGTTGCACGTCTCCGCTGAAACTTTGGCGCGAGTTTGCCTCTGAACATCACGATGGGGCTGGCCCAGCAGATCAACATCTTGATCCCATTCGCAGTCGTTTCAGAGAACTTGACTCGGACGCTTTTGTGTGGTCCAAGGATTCGATCCTCGCTATCTTCCTTCAACTCGGCTTACCAGACGGCCTACATAGCTCTTACTCATTGGTGAATGAAATATTCGAATCTCGCGCTCGTCTGGGATCTGAAATTTCATCTCATGAAACCGAAGAAGTGATTCAAATTGAAGAATTACGGCATAAACCTCGTGCTTTAGGCCTCATGGATTTACCCCTTGAGATTCTCAACGATATACTTGAAATGCTTAATCACATGGCTAGGCTCGAAGGTGAGGTAATCAAGGAAGACAGGTGGGAAACCGCGACGACCTGGACTTCAGGCGAGAAGCAAACATACATGACTTATTTACGCGAGGACCCACCGATCTTGAATACTATACAAACCTTTTCACTTACTTCTCGTAAAATATATCAACTTTGTCGACCCTGGCTGTGGCAAGTGAGTCGTCTTCAAATCAACTCGTTTTAAAAACCTACTATCACGATCAGCCACTGATCGCAGGGTTTAGAAACTACAATTTCCTACTCGTCTTCCAGCACCAATAGGTCTATGGACCAATGATATTCTTCTCAAACAAGGCTCCCTTGTCCGGTCTCTAACCCTTGAGCTCTCCGAAAACTGCAGCAAACCTGAAGGATCCGTAGAATATGATCCCTATTACGATAATCTCATCCTTAACATGGAGGATGAGGATCCAGAGAGAGTCTCTCCAAAGAATGCAAAAGACCTAATAACTCGGTGCCCCAACCTCTCTGAGTTGGAGATCAGGTATGAAGTTTTTGGAGAGTCGGAAGACGCGGTCGAAGTGACAGGTTTTTTATCAGATCTGATCCCTCTCATAATCAGTCTCAAACATCTCCGACAGTTATCATTAATAACTTACCTAGGCAACGGACCCATGGTCATATTTCCATCAGAACTCTTGCTTGGTTTACCTTTGCTCGAGTCGCTTTCATGTATTGGAATGGTTTTATCATCAGATCAAGGAAGAATCGGTGATGGTTCCTTTGGATACAATCTATCCAAACTCTAACATTTATCGACATTGGAATTACTCGATGTTGTAGGTATAGATGAGCAATGGTGCCTTTACAATTGGCCAAAGATCATCACCCTGCTTACAATCCACTCTTGTGGTGATTTATCACCAAGTTTAGCATGTCGAATCATCCGTCATATTGCACCTTGCCTACAAGATCTTAGGCTTGGCTTCGAACAAGGTGATGGGAGCTGGGAAATCGATCCTAGCTGGATTCCCGGACATCGTTTGGATCTTCCGTCTTTGACTTACTTGAAGCTTTGTACCCGAAACCCACACTTACTGGACAGCTTTCAAGACTGCAAATCTCTAACGTTGCTTGGATGGACGTACATAACCCTGGAACATTGTAGGATACTGAGTGGCATTGTGTTTCGACCTGCTTGGCCTCAGCTCAAGAAACTGGTGGTCACTCGTGGTCATGATGTCGACCAAAACGCTCTGAATCCTCGAAATCGAGCAATCATTGAAGACGAATTAGTTTCATTGGAGCATCATTGCAAACAAGCCAATATAATACCGATCATACACCGATGTCGGCCTGACATGCCGTGAGTAATCTTAGTTTTTAGAACAGGGTTCGACCTATTCTAATCGAAATTTCATCATGTTCAGGTGCTTCTGAGCTTTCGAAGCAAGTATGTATCTTTCTCTTTCACTATATTCTTATCTTTTATACTTGATTCTGTCACTGATCCAATTATCTCTTCATGTTGAAAATAATTTATGGCCGATTAGAATGCCCTTCTTCGGTATCTGTTTATTGCTGCAGTGCGAGGTTATAAAAGAGCGCTTGCATAGGACATCAGAACTCAGGACAAATCCTACAGATCATTTGCTCGTCTCGGAATTCTTGTACGATCAGATCTCTGGTTTATATACGCTCCTTTGTTTTATTTTCTCAAAAAGAATCTTTCCTTACAATCCTTGGCACCAGAATTAATCTTGTTTAAATAGTTTGTATGTTTATTATCTTTTCATCTTACTTAAATGTATTATTTCCACTTCTTTGTTTGCACCTGTGTGCTTATTTCTTTTAGCATAAAACCTGTCTTCTCAATGAATTTTCTCATTGATCCAATCATCCCGGAAACATGCGTTAGATGTATCGCCTATCCGAAAGTAAATATTCCATGTTGCAGAATGAGACATGTGCCATTGATGAGTAAAGACTTTTGTCCGCGTACAATGTTTGATTCCTATGATTCAACATTGCCAAAGGATACCTTGGTATCATTCTCAGAATCTGTTGTTCACTCATCATCTAAGGTTAAATGACAGATTCACTCTTGGTTTGTTTGATCACCGTCTTAAACACTGAAATAGTCAGCTGTTTTGTTGGTCTATGGGTACTCATATCCGCCTCTTGACTGGCTGAGATTCTGGCCGCGGTGGTATAAATATCATAGAAATCTTTCGGTGAATTGCTCGCCAAGATATGAATATGTATTAGTTTGTGTGTGAACACCAAACTAGTTTGCTTACTCAGAGTCAATGGAATCAGGGCGGCGGCCGCGTGATCAAATACTGTGAATGGTATCCTATCGGGTGATCAAGTATTTGGACAGAGTTTTAGGCCTGTGATCGATCGCAATCGCCGGCCCACAAAGAAACTGGTCCCTCAGAAATATGATCACACAAACACCACACCAAAAGCCTTCGGATATATATGACTTTAAGCTTGAGAAATCTTGGGAGTTGAGTGGGGATTTGATTACCTAGCTAGGCGTGGTCTCGATGTCATCGCTTGTCAGCTTGACAGAGCAAAGTATCATATGATTTCCGACATCTCAAGGATTTACATACTCGGAAAGAATGAGATGTAAGGTCAAGAAACCCAAGGTTGAGGTTTGTGTTGAGCTGGTATGTTATCCAAGGGTAAGAATGTTGGTGAAAAGATTCACTGAAGAATGGCAGCTGATTGTCAAGCGAGGAACTTTGGGGAATGAGTTTATCACTTCGAGGAATTTCGAGCACGTGCGATAGATAGGAGGCACAAAGGGGGGGCTGATCAAGTTCACTTCTTCTAGTGCGTGTTCTCTTTTTTGTTCGCCGTTTGGTGAAGAAGATTCTGGCGATATTTATTCTTGCTCTCTGTTGTGTTCGATCTGCTGCCTATAAAGCTCACACTTACATTTCTCAAATCTTAGTTCTACATCTCCTGGACCACACTTCACCTTCTATACTGTCTGCTTGCCAAAAAAATTCTCTGTCTTCAAGAAGCCTTTGAGTTTTATCCGGCAAACCCTTCTCATACATTGCAACATTGATCCTCCTTGCACTCTCTCAAGATAAATTCAGTTGTGTTCCTATGATAGATGCAATCTAAGGCAAATCCCATGTCTACTAAACATTGTTTGATTTGATCTTCTGGGAGTGTCTATTTCCAGATGATTTGTTCAAGATCTCCCAAAGTGAGTTCAAGAGATATGAACGCCCTATTGAAATCAAGATAATGTTGGTAGTATTTTATGATGAAGGGATGTTGTAGTTTGCTTAGTATTGTGATTTCTTCTATCAGCAAGTCTGTAACATCATATTTTGTTAGTCCAATCTTGTGATGGCTTTTATTGCATAGAATTGTTGATATATCTGGATCTTACAAGGAAAACTGAATAGTGGGGGCAACTGGCTCAGCCGGATTTGGTTCAGTTTTCCTGGCTAGATCCAGATATAATCAACATTCCTATACAATCAAGGTTGTCTCACAAGTCAACTAACATGAAAACAATGATACAGAATCTTTAATGGAAGAAATCACAATACTAAGAAAACTACAACATCCCTTCATCATTAAATACCATCAACATTATCTTGATTTCAATAGGGTGTTCATATCTCTGAACTTGCATCAGGATATCTTGAACAAATTGTCTGGCAAACCACAATCCTCAAAGATCAAATCAAACAGTTTTTACTAGACATGGGATGTGCCTTAGATTGCATTCATCATAAAAACATCATCCATTGCAATACTGAACTTGCAAATCTCCTGATAGGTTATGATGGCAGAATCAAATTGACAACTTTGGACTAGCCACAATAACTTCTTCTTATGAGCTTGTAATCTCTGAGATATCATATACTATGATCATGTTTAGTTGTGCTATTCTTGCACACTTTTGTTGGCCATTTTTCCCTCTGAAGGGTGATGGCCCTTGTTGACCTGCCTACTGGCATATTGTCATCAAAGAAGCATACAATATGTCATCTTTAGATACAATCTCAACCCAACTCATTTTTTACAATGAGACTAGCTGGATGTAAGTCAGGCTGAGCTTGTACCAAACAGTCAGATTTGATAATCTTTCAGAGGTACATCAAACTCAGGAGTTTGCCTCTTGCTCAAGGTAAAAAATGCAAGACATTTCCATGAAGAGAGTAGCTTTGTAGGAACAAAAGTACTAAGAGAGAAAAAATTAGAAATGGAATAAACAGATGTAATAAAGAAGACTTCTATTCCTGCAACAGGTGTTTATCAGTCAAAAGACTATACATCATTTCTAAGATCATCTATCCCCCCTCTAGTTTCTATACTTGCTATCTTTTTCCTTACCAAGTTTCTTTCATCATCCATCACTATACATTCACAAATCCATTGCATATCTGATAATCATCACTAACAAATTATTTTGAACTTCCCACCCACCCAACAGAAAATGTTCAGATATATATTGTATTACACAGATGTGGTAAGCTAAGATAACAAGAGTTCTCATTCAAGAGATCTCTCCTGCCCAGAGAGAGTTCCACCAGATGAGTGAAACTCTCACAGTAAAATTTTCAGCAAACCTCCTCCACAAGCAGGTCTTGTGGTAAGGAGCATTCAAAGGATCTATCATATGCAATGAATAAGATGTTATAAGATTGAATGTGTAGAGGTACACTGGGATAAATGCTTTATGGACAACAACTTGATTGTATCTTCTTAATTTGAAAACTTGACAATTCAAAATCTTAATACTTGAATTTGCGCTCCATTGTAAATCATGACTGACCCTGGAGCCCTAGGACCATGTGCTCCTTCATCAATTCTCCTTGAGCTCAAACACAACCTTGTGTCACATACTAATTGACCAATGTCCAATGACTTGAATGATTTTTTCTTCTGAGTTAACCCACAACTTTCCCCTTCCACCCTCCACTTATCTTTACATCCTGTACACCCAAAGACACCAAAAATGTTACTATCTTCACTTCTGCTTTGATCTGAGCTTCCCGCCCGGTAATTCTGAGACAATGTGATCGGAATTCAAACAATATTGGAGAAAATGTGTAATTGGAGGTATTGATCAAACTTTCCCCATCATCAAGGATGAGCTGACCGCTTGCAAACCTGTTGTAATTTGGGGCCACCAGTATCTGAAAGAGTATCTCAAAGTAAGTTTGAGTCCTGAGGCTGTCCTGAAGCCAAAAAGCTGTTTTGATTGGAAATGAAGGGTTTATATCACCTCAAAAGGATGCTTCCTGATCTCTGTATTTGTCATTGGGATTCTAGAGGATACATCTCCCAAGAGGATAATTGAACAAGGCTTGATGTGTGGTGGGACATGTTCAATGCCTATGTCAAATATGTCAAACATTCCTGGATTTGTGATAGGTCTTCATGCATAATAGTAAAAATACTAAATATTGGCTGTTGCTATTTGCAGCCCACACAAAATCCATGTAGGCGTCATTTGGCTACACCTACATTCTAAAAATGAGATGTAGGCGTAATTTGGTTACACCTACATTCTAAAAATGAGATGTAGGCGTAATTTGGTTACACCTACATTCTAAAAATGAGATGTAGGCGTAATTTGGTTACACCTACGGATTTTAGGCACTTTGAATTTACGCCTACATCTGATTTTTTGAATGTAGGCGTAAAATTCAAGTGCCTACATATGTGGGTGCTTGAATATCACACCTAGATGCAGGGAAATCCATGTAGGCACTTGAAAATTATGCCCACATGCAGAAAAAGACATGTAGGTGTCATTTTCAAGCGTCTACATTGCTTCTTTGGGGATGTGGGCATCATTTTCAAGCGCCTACATGTGTATTGAGGTATGGGACTGTGCCTAAACATGTGTGGATGTGGAACTTTGGTCCAACTTCTCTTCTGTCTTCCAATACTCTCATTTCAAGTCCAAACGGCTTTGTCTGTCTTCCGATACTCTCATTTCGAGTCCAAACTGCTTTGTCTGTCTTCCAATACTCTCATTTTGAGTACAAACTGCTTTTTCCATCTTCCAATATTCTCATTTTGAGTCTAAGCTGTGTTTTCCCTCTTCCAAT